GGGGGTTGGGGTGGTTTGGGGGTGGGCAATGGGGGAATGGGGGGGGTGCCACTGAGTCCAGCCTCTGGGATGATTTTTCAACCCTTCAGCCCACCCTGAACTCATCTTCCTCAAAGGTGGGGAATTGAGGTTGGGAACCACAGGAAAAATTAACCTGGGCATCACTTGGGGTGCCTGGGGCGTGGCTGTTCCCCACCCTCATTAACATCCCTGCTTTCCATCCTCGTTAGCAGCCCTTTTCTGACGGATCAGCGACCCGGACTGGCTCAGCCCCGGCTGGAGCGAGTGGGGGGCTCTGGGTGGGGCTGCAGTTCGGCTCCAGCATCCCAAAGGGAACCGCGCTCCCACCGCCCCCCGCCGCCCCCCCCCCTGCATTTGAAAAGCGAAGCGAGCGCCGGCGAAGGGTGTTGGAGGGCGATGAACCCCAGAGCGCCGCTGCATCGCCCAGGGGAAACTGAGGCACGCAGGGGGTAAAGGCATCTATTTTGGGGGCGACGCTTGCGGTGCTGGGGGTCCCAGCCTGCTCTCATCTCCCACCCTGTGGTTTTGGCAGGATGCATCGACCTGGGGGGTGACAGCCCCGGTTTCTGGGGGGGCTCCTGGGCTTTCTGATGGGGCGAAGGTAACGGTAGCCCCTGACTCAGGTCTCCCTGGGAGCGACGGGGTCCCAAATTTCTCCCGTGCCCACCACCAGAGATGCTGAATCACCCACGTGGAGCAGCCGTGGGCAGCTTTGATGACCAATATTATTAGCACTGGCCATGTTTCCCCATCCAAACCCATCCCTTCACAGCGGGAGCCGAAACCCACTTGCGTTGCAGGACCGAGGAGGACGCAAAAGCCCTCGGCTGGGAAAACTTTTCTTTAAAAGAAACCCAAATGTCAGCTCTAAATTGGGTGTTACACGCTCATGCTCCGTCTCTTCATTACTGTATCGTAAAATTACATTAGCCGGGAACGATCTGCATTCAAATGACTCTGTGTCTGGAATGATAACGTGGGAATATGAGATTAAAATGTAATTATGCTCTTTAAAGTCAAGGAAGTTTAATAAAATGTTTTTCCAAGTTGCAGAGGCTCCGCAGCCACAACGCAGAATCACTTACAGGAATCAAGGGGACGATGAGGTGGGAAAGGGGGAAGGGGGGGGGGGAGGCAAAAAATGTGTAGAAAACATAAAAAGAGGGGTTGGGGGATGAAAATATTGGGGTATATTGGGGTGACCTGGGGTGAGTCACAGGGGGAGCGGTCTCAGGGTGGTGGGGTTTCATGGGCTGGCTCAGCTGGGAGCACCCGGGCGGGGCGGCGATGCTCACCGGTACCCGGCCCCGGGGTGATGCCGGGCCCCCAACCCGCATCCGGCTCCCGCTCGATGCTTTGGGGCTCCTGGAATCCGCGCTCCAAATCCCCCGACATCAGCCACGGGGGGCAGGGGTGGTGGTGGGGGTCCCTTCTCTGCATCCCCAGCACCGGGTTTGCTCTGCCACGTCCCTGCTCTTCCCCAGAGGAGCCCCCTTCGTTAGCGCTGATCTCCTAACGACATGCGAGGCGGGCGATCAGCCAGGGAGCTTCACTTGCGCCCTTCCCAATCGCTTTTCACGTTGGGGAATCACCTGGGTGGTGGGAAACGGGGCGCCCAGCAGCGACCTGCAACGTGCCCGCGCCGTTTCACACGTAAAGCACCCTCCGGCTACACCCATAGCTTTAAAGCAGCATTGCTGCATGGAAATGACTGGGGTTTTTTTTCCCCAATCCTTGGGTGATCACACCCCTGCACATGGTCAGGGCAAACCACCCCCCCCCCCCTTCATTAACAGCGGGAGCTTCGTTAGCTCTGAAGCCTCCAGCGAGGCTTTCGAGAGCCCCTCCGGAGGCAGGAGGGGGGGTGGAGGGCGCCGTGGTCTGCCGCCGGCTCTGCCGCAGCCACAGAGGCCAAAGTTTAATCAGGATAAATTAGAGGACGTTGGGTACCGCGTGGAAAACCGGATTTTTCAGCAATTTGTGCATTTTTGCCTGCCTTTGGCGTGGCTGGAGGGGGACGCAGCAGAGGAGGAGAAGCTTCTGAAGCACGTAGCTGCTGTGCTGGGGCGGGGAGGCAGGTCAGGCTGGCGGAGGAGGGGTCCCCGCTCCTGCCTGGGCGAACCCACGTGCCTCGGCCAGGTCCTGTCTTGGCGGCACTTAACGGGGAGCCAGCCTGCCACCAGCGTTTCACCCCGTCACCGTCACCGCGAGCACGTGGCTGATGGGGGGGTTAATGGCTGGGGGGGGGGGGGTGATCCTGCGCCGCCTGCCCGAGCACAGCACCTTCAAATTTCACGTCTCGGCTAAAGACGCTGCTCGGCTTCCATGACGTGCTGGAAAACGGCTTTGATGATCTTTTAAAGTAGGAAGAGCAGCCAAGGTCTGGCTTTGCTGGGGCGCTGCCTTTATCACTTGACTGTCCAAACCCATCCTGCTGGGATGCAGACGTCATGTTGGGAAGTGGCTGACCAGGAAGGGCTAGGTTTGTCCTCCTAAAAGTGCTTGGAATCATAGAATCACTTTGGTTGGAAAAGACCTTTAAGATCATCGAGTCCAACCTTTAACCTAACCCTGCCATCCCACCACTAAACCCTGTCCCTCAGCACCTCATCTATCCTTCTTTTAAATACCTCCAGAGATGGGGATTCGGCCACCTCCCTGGGCAGCCCCTTCCAGAGCCTGACAGCCCTTTCTGTGAAGAAGTTTTTCCTAATGTCTAGCCTAAACCTGCCCTGGCACAGCTTCAAACCATTCCCCCTCGTCCTATCGTCAAGAAGAGAGAGTTAAAATAAATTGCTCAGGCCTTCCATCAAAGGCCGGTCCCAACCTCCCGAGGAGAAGACACGCTTGGTGCCGGGAAATAAATTTGCTTGGTGGCATCTGCCCATCCTGTGTCGGGGAATTGCTGTGGGTCCTGGCAGAAGACCCCCCGGGAAGGCCCGGCTCCATGAGCCCCCAAGCCCGGGGTCAGAGAGGGGCTCTGCTGCCCAGGGAGGCTTCGGTGCCCGGTGCGTTTGCCAGGGGAGCGATGAGGACTCGCACCCACTGGGGGGTCTGTGGTCCCTCCCTGAGCAACGAGAGGTGGGTGCAGAGGGAAATTCGTCCCTTCTCCTGGGATGCAGGGGTTGCAGCTTGCTGCCAAAGGGTCCTACAGGGTTAAGGAGGAGGAGAAATAGGGTGGATGAAGGCTCTGCGCAACCTGATACAACATGGAGATGAGCTCTCCACCGAGCGGGGCTTGGACCAGATGGCCCCTGCCATCCCCTGCTCCAGCAGGCTCCACGCTCGCTCCCGTCCCTCCCCAGAGAAGGAAGGGAAGCTCGAGAGCTAACTCGCCTTCAGCCCCGGCGAGATGGCCACCAGCCCGAACTGTGGCCCATGAGAAACTTTTGGGCAAGAGAGACACTCGGCTGAGCCGGCGGCTTTGGGTTTCCTCGGAGGCGAGCGGGCTTCGTTAGTGCCAGAGGAGGAGGAGACGGCCGCGGGGACGGGGAGCTCCTCCGGCAGCCATCGTTCCCGAGATGTGGGGCGGAGGAGGTGCGAGCGCTGAATCACACCGGGCTGCTTCGCTGCAAACACCACAGAACTCAAGAGGATTTTTGCTGCCTCTGAATTGTGGGATTTTTGAGGATTTTTTGGTTTTTGCCTATTTTCTAGCCGTTTACTGCTTAAAGATGGGGGCCTTGCTATTTCTGCTACGGATGGATTATACACTCCTGCTGACGCAGACAAGGAGCAGGATCAGCTCAGTGCTGGTACAAAGCCATGTTCCGGTTGCTGGGTGAGACCGTGAGCAGAAAGCCACCACGGTTACGGGGTGCTCGGCCAGTCGGTGCCTTTTAAGAGAATAAAGGTATCGCCACATGCAAAGGTGAGCTGAGTCAGCTGGAGGCTCGTGACCCCAGAGAAACTGGCACAGAACATCAGCGAGGAACATTTGCTCCGCCGAGAGAAAATTACCAATTAAGTGGCAACAGCAGGGGGTTACGCAGGTGACAAACCCCTCTGCTGTCACCTCAGCCTCGGCACAGCCAGGACACACCGGAGACAGAATGTAGCCGAGTGATTTTTCCTTCTGTTTTGGGTTTGTTTTTTTCTGAACGGCTCTTTGAAGACCAGACCTCCTGGGGTTTAGGTATCTGAGTCTCAACGCTGTGACGGTCCATGCGGCTGCGGTGACAACCCCCGAAAACCCACGGGTCTGCAGATCCTTTGTCTCGACTGACTTAGCTTTTTTCAGCCCATTTATTCATCACTCTGCCAAGAGATTCACTCCACGGAATCATTAAGACTCACGATGAGACCAATTACGAGTCAGAAAGAGAACCTGACTTTAAACGTAATTTTATTAAGGCTTAAATGTCTATCAGCCAGACGGGAGCCGGCCCAGTCACACGACATAAACCGAGAGTGACGTTTGGTGTAATGCGATGGCTTTTCTACAAAAGTTCGGGTGAGCAGGACGAGATGGCTGCCAGTTACTCACGCATTCCCCACGGTCTCTCTTGGCGACTCGCGGGACGCCAGGGTGAACGCCGCCGTGGTCCGGCCGCCCGGCGAGGGCACCGCGGGGAGGAGGGGAGCGAGGCGGGGAAGGGGAGAAGTCAGGTAGCTTACACGTTGTCAATCACAAGGACTTCGCCTGGTCCACGGCCGAATGGCTGCTCGTCAAATACGCAAATGGTTTTAACTCACAGGGAAGCTAAACTGGCAGTCCGAAAGGCACCTATGCTAGACCACTGAGCCGCGGGGACGGTGGTAAGAGGGCGGGTGCAACAGGTGGAAATCAGTTCTGTATAAATACATATTCCTTGTTAAAGAAGCTATGGCTTTTATTATCCTCAGGTCGCTTTGCTCCGGTGCGATGCTCTAACTCCCCCCCTCCCCCCCC